ATTTGCTTATTTACTTGTTTCTTGTGATCCAGGTTCCTTGCCAAAAAGGAACCTTACCCATGCAGAGTTCAGAAAGAGAAGATGTTCTTTATTCCTACATTTTTTGGCATCTTTGACTCAGTATCAATACTGTGTTGTCTCATACTTGTTAACATTCTTACTTTGTTTTTTGTGCTAAAAAGATTTTTATGAAATGTCTCAATGAAATTTCCTCATCTTCTAGTGAAATTGATTCCATTTATTAGTAATAATTTTTCCTTGAAAATCAAGAGATTTTAAAGTAATTAGCCTCCAACTAATAAAAATAAATGGAAAAAAAAATAAAATGGAAAAAAAAAAAAAATAAATAAATATTCAAAAAAAAAAAAGAAAATCAAGAGATTTTAAAATCCCTCTTTTGTGCCTTTTACATATTGTCTATGCATTATGTCACTTTCACTAAGTCATCTTTCTTGTCTGTGTTCTGCATTTGAAAATTATTATTCCAATATTCATTCAAGAATATTCAGCATGCATTATTTCATTTTGCTTCTACACTGATATTAATCAGTTACTGTGTGTCAGACACAAACAAGCACTTCAGATTTATCACCTCATTTGTTTGGTTCTCTGTGACCATGTCATGGTAGACATATACCTTCAGGACTGGGTACATGGGCAGGAGTGGATCTGTGTACTGATTTCCTGCATAACTGGTATTTTTCCTTAGGTCACCCCGAGAGGACCTGTATGAATTCTTTTCTTCATGATGTTAAACATTTAGCAGTTTTTTTTTACATTGTTTGGAGATTAGGGCCTGGAAACTATGGGACATAATTTGAAAGAATACTGGCACCCACAGAGTGCCTTCTCACGCAGACCTGCGTGTGTGTGTGGATGCAGGGAGCATCCTCTGCACCCTCTGGTGTCTGGCTTGCTCTGCCGCTTTCTTTAGTGATTGGACTCCCAGGTCCCCGGTTTTTTAAATTTCCAGTTTGGTGAGAGATACTCTCACTGTTTTTGCTCGCAATTTCTCTTTTAACACTTTACTGTTTCTCTTCTTTTTTATAAAAGTCTATTCCTCCTTTGTTCCCATGTTCATCTTAACCTTATTAAAATTTCTGTGTGTACATGCTCAGTTATGTCTGACTCTTTGCGACCCTATGGCCCGTAGCCCTCCAGGCTCCTCTGTCCATGGGATTCACCAGGGAAGAATACTGGGGTGGGTTGCCATTTCCTTCTGATCTTCCCTACCCAGCGGTTAAACCTGTGTCTCTTGTATCTCCTGCATTGGCAGGAGGATTCTTTACCACTGCATCACACGTGGCAAATGTTTTTATTTTGTTTTATTAATTTTTTTCATTTTTTAAAGATGTAGATGCCTTTTTAGTTTTTTGTAGGCAGCTCTTCTGATCCTTGTGGTCTTTACTTTAATCTTAGAAAGTCTGTGCTGTCCCAGCGTGTTGTAAGCAGCTGTCTTGATTGCTTAGTGTTCCTGTGTTTGTTTTCTGTACTTGGAGTGTTACTCCACTTGTAGTGTTACGTGTAAGGTATTATGTGGAGATGGGATCTGCCTTTTTTTCCCCCTCAAATGGTCAGTAAGTTACTTTAAAACAAGTTCTTAATTTTTCTCAGGTCTTTGAGAAATGTACTCGATTTGTTTTGGCCCTTTTCTTTAGTTTCTGTGCTATTTCACTGATTCATCCAAATCTCTAGGCCACATCCATACCAGTTCTAAAAAGTATTTCGTTATAGTACATTCTAGCATCAGGAGATCTCTCCCTTCCTCTCTCCTTCCTCCCCTCCACCAGGTATTGTCATTTTTCATTTTTTTCTTGTGTTCTCTGAGAAACATGAAACACTATAAGATTCCTGAGAAACTTTCACAAAGATTTTCTGTTAGGTTTCTTCGATGTTTCTTCTTCTATAAGTTTTTGGTTGTGTATATCACATATCTATTTCGAGTAAATTTTGTATCAGTACCAGCTGTGGGTGTTGTTTTTGGCACCATTTTTCGAGAAAGTGACCTCTTTCCCACTGTGTGGCCTTATACTTTAGTCAACAATCAATTGTCTTCCACGTATGTGTTTATTTCTGGACTCTCTTCACTCTGTTGATCTATTTGTTTCTCTTTATGCTAAAACAATGCTCTTGATTACTGTTGTTTCATAGTATTAATAATTCTGAAGTACAGTAGTGTTTGCCCTCCAGCTTTGTGTTTTCATTTTCAGAGTTGTTTTGGCTAAACTGCATCCTTTGTATTTCCATGTGACTTTTAGAATTGCTTTGTCAATTTCTATTAAAAAATAGCCTGCTAGGATTTTAACTGTGTTGAATCTGTAGGTAAATTTTGGGGAGAATTGGTACTTTAATAGTATTAAAGTGTTCTGATCCATGAATGAAATATACCTCTTCTTTTATTTAGGTGTTTTATAATTTCTTCCCAGCAATATTTTGGGTTTTCTTCTGAATTATAAGTCTCTCTCTTAATATATTTGTTGGCCAAAAAATTCATTTGATTTTTTCCATAAGATCTTATGAAAAATGGAATGAACTTTTGGGCCAACCTTATAACATAATATAATTAATATACTGTTTCCCAGGTACCCACTTTTGCTTCATAATCTGTGTTAAATTAGGCTCCTACTTAAGATGTGAAGAGAGTTGGGGGAGAGTACCATTCCCCCCAGTAATGAGGACCAGCCAGCCAGCCAGCCTGCTGATGCTGCAGGTGGTCGTCTGCTCAGCAGCAGTGCTCTTCATCTCAGCTGCGTGGCCTTCCAGGGGCTCCTTGTCTGTGAGCAAGTGCTTTTTAAAAAGTTACATCATTATCTCTCACTCTTATCATGTTGCGTGTGTTTTGTTGGGAAATAAGCAATTAATACATTTTCATTCTTATTTGATGATGTCTGTATCTGGTTAGATGTGGCTTTTATGGTTCTGTTCTCTTTAATCCGTTCTGACATTTGACCCATTTTAACTGATGATGGGTAGAATGGTTATATAGTCCTTCTCTTTTTTTAAAATGGGTTAAGTTTGGATATGCATTTGTGAAGAACAAACTAAATGTCCTTGAAGTGCACAGGATCTGAAATTTGGTAGACCCTCAGGTGTTCGAATATTTATAGCAATGTAGCATTTTAAGCACATGTGTTGCAGTCTGTATAAAATCCTGCTGCTGCTTATACCTGCTCTAGAGGCTTCATGGGGTAGTGTTGCTGTGTAAGTAAGGAGATCTGTGGAGGGATGGGTTTCAACCTAAAGGAACAGTGAATACAGAGAACCTGTGAGAACCAGCAAGGGCATCACATGGTCATAGGATAAAGTGCCAGACCAGAGGGGGACGAGGCAGGGGATGGCGCAGAAAGAGATCAGCTGTGGAGAAAGGAGCACGCGCACTGCCGACTTGGTTATCTTCCAGGGATTGCAGATAATGGAGGGCTGGGGTGAGGGTGAGCGTAATCCTTAGTTTCTCATCTCGTTCTACTAGCATGTAAAAAAGCAGAAGGAAGGGAAAATGGATTGGATAGTAGCACAGCATAAAATTAAATGATAAGATGGGAATTGTGTTGAGTTAAAGGACTGGGAAGCCTGGCCTGCTGCAGTCCACAGGGTCACAAAAAGGTGGACAGGACTTGGCAGTTGAAAAAGAACAATATACAGGAGTATGAGTTCAGTGGTATGTCTTTACTGCCTGATGCTTAGCTATAAAAAACATGACAGTGGGAGTACAAACATGAAGCTTGACGTAACCAACTGAAAAAAAAGAAAGCTTTTTGGCTATTAATAAACAGATACTTACCTCTTATGAAGATATCTTAAGATTGCTTCACATGTAATTCTAAAGTACATTGTTCTTTTATATCAATAAAAAGTAGCTTCACCTCCCTTCAGGAAAGTAACTCAACCCTTATGTATTTATTGTATAATTGAGGAATGGGAAAAAATATAATATCTACAAAACTTTTTGATACCTTAAATAATTAGGAACTGATGTTCTATTGAAACTCAGCTGCGTTCAGAGATATTTAGGAAATAAGGCTTTATAATGAGCTGAATTTGGTCTATAAGTCAAGTAATGACTGGTAGCATTAGTTTTTGTAATATGAACTAATACATTACAAACTTACCTCTGTTCTTTGAGCTTTCAGAATAAACTGACTGTAAAAGAAGTGGACCTTTTCTCATACAAAACAGTAGTTTTGACAGAAATATAAAAATAGATCTACATAGCTGTCGCTGGTCCTAAAAGGGAGATGGACAGAGGGAGGGAGACAGGAGAGGGAGAGAGACGGAGGGGAGAAGGAATCACAGGGAGCAGGACCTGGACCGGGGCTCGTCACTGTTGTCCAGCAGCGTCTCACCTTGTCCCCATCAGCTTCTCGTCTCCTCTCTGTGGCGCAGACGTGATGCAGACGCTGTGTGTTAGATTTTGTAAATGGTCACGCTGCACTGGATACCACAGAGATAAGAGTTTACAAGAGTTGACACCACTTTTTGTGTGAAGCTCTAAACCTTTAGTTTTCAGTCCTGACCTGTGTCTTTGGAGCTACTAGTGGAGGGTGGTCTTACATATATTTTTCTTTGTTTGTTTTTCTGTCAGTTGTGTGCCAGTCAATGCCATTCACAATATTAATGTAAGGATTTCACATCTCCATGTTATTCAGCTTTGTCATCAAATTATTTTGTTTAGTGACACTTTTGACATCCGTAACTTGACTCAGACCTGAAATAATGGCAGATACGGGCAGAACTTTCCAAATGGAGCCCTTGTCCCTGTTCCGACACACCTCTTATTGGGGGACAGCTAACTGTATTTGGGAGTTGACTGGGAGAAGTTAACTTTTAGTGACTGTGTCCATTTGAAATAAATTTATTTTGAAAGCATAAGTATAGATAAGTACCTAGAATGTTATTTTTTCCTCCCAAAGTTATTTCTTAAGTATTATTTATCAACTGAAAGTTTAACTCTGATGTGCTATTATTTCATTGAGTTGATTATACTTCTTCTTTTTTTTAAGGTAAAGTGCAAGTTAAGAGTTCAGACATACAAGTTGGAGACCTCATCATAGTGGAAAAGGTTGATGCATTTTTAATATATTTTAGACATGTGTATACCAGTTATTAACATTTAGACTGATTTCATCTGAAGGAAATTATTTGAGACAGTTATTTTAAATCTTAACATTATTGTGTAAGATTGATATTCTGAAGAAGAAATCTAGACTTTTGTATAGTTGTTTTTTTTTTTTTGCTAAAGTACATTTTAGTGTGTAGTCATATTTTGTCCAAAATAAGATGTGTTAACTGTTTATTGTTTCGTTGTCAGAATTATATCTTTGACCAAAGAATTATATTAGTTAGAATCTATTTATCATGAAATAGTTTCAGATTCTGGGGCTTCCCAGGTGGCACTAGTGTAAAGAACCTGTCTGCCAATGCAGGAGACATAAGAGGTGTGGTTTTGATCCCTGGTTCGGGAAGATCCCCAGGAGAAGGGCATGGCAACTCCCTCCAGTTTCTTGCCTGAAAAATCCCATGAACAGAGGAGCCTGGTGGGCTCTGGTCTATAGGGCCATAAAGAGTCGGACACGACTGAAGCGACTTAGCACATGCAGTTTCAGTTTCTAAAGCTTCCTTTTACAGACAGATGTATTATACATAATTATTGTGTATTCTTATGGCTTAAAAAGGAAATGGAAATAAAGAGGATTAGAAAGAAAAAGTTTAGGTCAGTGTTGTAGGATGCCATTAAAAACCCCACAGTGGTCAGAGGTAGCTGTGGACAAGCTGCCACTCCACTGGAGTTTGACTGCCTGGGCTGTCTGCCTGTGTGGAGAAGCGTCTCTGACTGCACAGTCTTCCTGAGTAACAGTTACTGAGGTTTCAGTCTTTATTTTTAAGGCTCTTGAACAACTTTTAAAAAAAATATGGCAGGTTTTCATAAGGCCTATTACAGAGGAGTGTGAGCCCTTGGTACCAGCTGACGTCCACCTGGGAACCCACCAAGGCACCCCCAGCCTGCATCGCCTGCAGGGGTGTTTAGTGAGAGGGCTCTTCAAGACTGAAGCGGTCTTCATCTGGTTGCAGTATGTGTACACAGATAATGTTGTGGGCTGTGTTTGTCTAATTTTACAGAATGGGAGAAAATTAAACATTGATTTGCAATTATTTATGTAGTATTCAGTTATATGAATACTATAAATTACTAACTTTTGATCCATTATTAGATTTTGGATGGTTTTCTTTTCTGCTATTGAAGAGTGCTGTAGTGAACATCTTGGTACATATATTCTTTCTGGATTCTGTGGGCTAAATGCTGACAAGAGAGATGGCTGAGCCATATATTAGTCATATACATTTTGATGTAGTTTTTTCCAAAAATCAGCACTTATTTCCTCACAGTTTGTATGGTCGGAATCTGGGTACAGCCTAGCTGCTCCTCCTGGCTCCGGGTCTGTCACAGGGCAGCAGTCGAGGGCTGTTAGGGTGTCAGCCTCATGGCCATCACTTTGGACCTGATGCTGGTCTTACTCTGGGGGTGGTTGGCAGGATTTGCTGCCTTTTTGAATTCAAGGCCTCTGTTCTGCCAGCTTTTGGCCTGAAGCCACCCTCGTTCCTGGCTATATAGGCCTCTCCACTGGGCAGCTCGTCACTGACCTGCCAGTTGGAGGGGGAAAGAGAGAGTGTAGGTGCCAGCGAAAGGGACCATGGTATATTAAGAAGACACAGGTCCCTACTTCTGTATTGCTCAGAATCCTAAGAGGAGGGAAAAATAAAAAGTATCCAATAAAAAAAAAGTATCCAATAATTATTTTGGAGTTTCTAATTTATTTATTGATACCCATAGAACATAAAACAGTATAGAGGAATATAGAGTAATGGTCTAAAATTGAAATTAAGAACAGAATTTCATTTGTAGTCGCATCAAAGGAATAAAATACTTACAAATAAAATCATTGTTAAGAATAAATGTAACAAAAGAGGTCCAAAACTTTGAAGACTACAAAACATTGTCAAAACACAGTAAAGACGACCTAGATAAATGGAAAGATTTCTCATGTTCATAGATTAGAAATATTCATACTGTTAAAATGGGAATACTCCCAAACTGATGTACAGATTCAGTGCTGCCCTCTCAACATCCTAGCTGACTTCTTTGCAGAAATTTATGAGCTGATTCTGAAATTCGTATGGAAATAAAAAAGATTCAAAGTAGCCAAAGCAGTTTTTAAACATATGAACAAAATTGTTCGAGTATTCACACTTCTCCATTTCAGAATTTTTTAAAAGTTAACAGTAATCAGGACAGTATGGAACTGGCATAAATTAAACGTTGAGTCCAGAAATAAAGCCTTAAGTTTATGGTTAATTGACTTTCAACACGGGTGCCTGGAAAATTCAGGATGGAGCTGTGTTTGGGTAGGTGCTTATTTTTTATCTAGTGCTGATTGTGAGATTCTTCGTTTTGTTGTGTGCAGTTATAGTTCATTCATTTTGTTGTTGCATAGTATGACTCTTATCCATTCTATTGGTGGATATTTGGGTTGCTCCCAAGTTTTCCTGTTAGGAATGATAGCTGTGAGACATCTGTGGCCATGTGTTGTGGCTCACACATGTGCACTTTCCTGTTGCATATGTACTCAGGAGTGGGCTTGTTGGATTTTGGGGTGTGTGGATGTTTCACCTGAGTGCTTACTCCAAATGGTTTTGCAGAGTGATGGATCAGATTATACTGAGGTCAGCAGGAAGAGTTCCCATTACTCATGTTTGCCATCACTTAGCATTGCCAACCTTTTAAAATTACCATTTCCAAATTGTGTATGTAGCAAGTTGTAGTTTTAATGTGCATTTCTATAAACTATCAAAAGTGAACACTTTTCATATGATTTTGGATATCTTTCTTTTTTGGAAGCTTCCCTGTGGTTCAGTGGTAAATAGCCAGTGAAAATCTCTTACTATTTTTCTTCTGAGTTATCCTTTCTTACCAGTTTGCAGGCCTTCAGATATTCTAGATGGGAATCCTTTATTAGTTTTATCTTGCAAATATCTTTTCCTTCCTAGTAGGCTTTGTGGAATAGAAATTCCTAGTTTTAATGAAATCTACATTATTAATCTTTTCATTTATAATAAGTTTTTTTTTTAATTTGTGGTGGTGAGGGGAAGGAGTCTTGTTTAAGAAATCGATCTTTCTACCAAAAAGTTATGAAAGTATTCTTCTGTATTATCTTTTAGATTTTATTGTTTTGACTTTGACATTTATAATTCATTTGGAATAGGTTTGTTTTTCTATTGAAGTAGAGGCCTAGTATTACCTCTTCTCATCGCCCATAGGTATCTAGTTTTCTCTAGAAAGCTATTTATTTAAAAGATGTCCACAGTGCCAGCTTCCTCACAAATCTTGTGTCCATATTTGTGTGGACTGACTTCTGCATTCTCTACTTTACATTATAAAATCATCTATCTTTATGTTGAATGCCATCTTTTCTTAATTATTGTATTTTAATATTTCGTTTTGTTATGTTACACATTCAACCCTCCATGTTGTTAGTCATTCTTGGCATTTGCATTGCCCTCTAAATATTAGGAATGTCTTGTCAATTCCCATCAAAAAAGCATGTTAAGATTTCGATTGGGTTTGTATTGGCTGTATGGGTCAGTCTGTGGACACGTCACATCTTTGCAATACTGTGTGTTCTAATGTGAGAGCATGGTATGTTCTGTTTCTTAATGTTTGTTTAATTTCTTTCAATAATGTTTTATAGTTTATAAAATTTTTTATAGTTTTTTATTGAGAGAACTTGCCCATTCATCTGTTTTATTCTAATGCTAGTTTTTTCTTATTACCAAAATGGGCATTTTTTTTTTTTTAATGTACTTTCTTGCTGTTTGTTACTGGTATATATGTTTTCATTTTCTGTGCCATTAATTTTGCTCTTATATTTGCTTACATCTTTGTATGTTCTTTGGGATTTATTGGCTTTTTGTTTTTCTGCTTTCAAACAGATATTCAGTTCCCTGTGTGTTTTTAGTCTCCCTTTTCTTTTGTTTGCAGTTTAATCATGTATACTTTCCTCTTACCATTTTTCTAACTTTGGCTGTGTTCCACATTTTGATATGTTGAGATTTTATTACCAACATTTTCTAATTTTCATTCCCCCTTCACCTAGGGGTTCCTTAGCTCTCAATAATGGCCTAAAGAAATGTTAGAAATTATTTCATGTTAGAAATAAGAAGTACTGTTCTGCAGCATATCTTTTTTCACCATTAACAGCTCAGCTTATATTTGTTGTTGTTGCTTGCTGACTGACAAGTAATTCATTTCTTTATTGTTTGTATATAAATATTTACTTAGGTCTCAAAAAATATAAATAATTCATGAAATTATGTGACGTATTCTTATTATATTTTTCTTCAGTTTGTACGGCTTTCCCAACTCATTAATGCTAAGTATTATTACTAGTACTAATTAATACCAATTATCATCAGTAATAGTGATTAAGCAAATGTATGAATAGTTAACTTTGAAGTTTTTCTCCTTTTCTGCCTTGTAAAAGAGTATCTCCTCAAATTTGTAGGATTTAGTCTGCTCAGCTGTACATTTATGCATTCATTCAACATTTACTAAGTGTTCATTTTTTATATGCTTTGTTTTGTGTTAGATGTTGGAAGAACACTATCCTCCCCTTCCAGGTCATTTAGTCTGATAGAGAGTGCATAATTTTTTTTAGAAGGCAGTAAGCATACTATATTGTATGTATGAGTCGAAGTACAGCAGAGGCCACAGAAATGGTAATGTTTAACATTTTTCAGAAATGGAGTAGCTTCAGATCATCACTAAATGCCATTTACACAGTTCATTGATGGGGAAAGAAATCTTAGAGATCTAACTAAAATATGAGTTAAAATATTCATTTTTGTTATACAAATTACAAATGTTTCAACATAGAGTTGAATTATTTTAGTTGTTTTTAGCAGCTGTTTCTCCTTTGAAATGGAATTGTGTTAATTTATAAACTTACATACAGATAATTAATATTTTCTGTTACTCTGCAGAATCAAAGAATTCCATCGGACATGGTATTTCTTAGGACGTCAGAAAAAGCAGGTATTTTTATTTTTATTTGCATTGCTGATGATTGGTTTTTGGCAGTTTAATTTTCATATTGAAAGATAAAGTTATTCTCATAAGAATTTTTCTTCAAATGGTAATACATTGAATTCATTAATTTCTAAGTCACATTTAACTGTTTAAAACAATGATTTTACTGTATAATATGTTGGTTTAAAAAATATAATCCTATCAGAATCTGTTTGTCAAGTGAATATTTTCATTCAAATCCATTTTGATATCTAAATAATTAATGATGTTGCTCAAATTTTGATTACTATTCTGCATTTACAGTTTTATTCCTCATTCAGCAAATATTTATTTAGCACTTATCATGTGTCAGGCACTACTTGTTGCTTAGGATACAAAAGGGAGTGAAACCAAGTTGCTCTCTTCAAACAGTTCATGATCTGTTCATTTATGGAAGTATACATGTTGACAGCAATACTCTGATTGTATATAAATATTAAAAGACATGTGGGGGTGATGGGAGGGACAGACAGTTTGCCTGGGTAAGTTGGAGTGAGCTTCACAGTAAAAATGATATTTATGTGACCTGAACTTCAAACAAGAAGAAGTTGCTAAAGTGGTAATGAAAAGGAAGCTTCTTGTGGTCAAAGAGAAAAACTGTTGATTGGAAATCAGGAAGCTTAAACTCTAGTCTGCTTTGACTAGTTTCTAATTTTATGACCTATCTGTGTGGTCATACACCTTCATCATCTCTAAAATGATGGGAGGTTTGTCAGGTAATAGCCAAAGTTCCTTCTGCCTTATGTTTCTGACTTTGTTGAATAAATGAACATTATTTTTATAGGAAGCTCAACATGTTATTTTCGTTCTGGAAACTCAGCTTATGTGTTGTTATTTGTAGCATGAAAATTCTATAAAGGACACAGTTAAAAATTTAGAATTGTTGGTTTAGTTTTTTCTCCATTTATAAAGTGTTGTTTTTTTAAGGACATTTTAAGTCATCATAAGGAAGATGTTTTCTCTTTTCACCAGTTGTAGTATTATTTACATCCTAAGAGGCATAGGTGCTAAGAGTTGCTTCAGTCGTGTCCAACCCTGTGCAACCCCATGGACTGTAACCCGCCAGGCTCCTCTGTCCATGGGCTTCTCCAGGCAAGAATACTGGAGTGGGCTGCCATGCCCTCCTCCAGGGGTATCTTCCCGACCCAGGGATCCAACCTGCATCCCGTCAGTCTCCTGCATTGGCTGGCAGGTTTGTTACCACTAGCGCCACCTAGGGCTAGATACAAATTTACTTTCAGTTCAGTTCAGTTTAGTTCTTCCCTGGTGGCTCAGCTGGTAAAGGATCTGCCTGCAATGCAGGAGACATGGGTTTGATCCCTGGGTTGGGAAGATCCCCTGGAGAAGGGAAAGGCTACCCACTCCATTATTCTGGCCTGGAGAATTCCATGGACCACATTGTCCATTGGATCACAAAGAGTCAGACACGACTGAGCAACTTTCACTTCACAGTTTAGTTGATTGCTCAGTCGTGTCTGACTCTTTGCGACCTTACAGACTGTAGCTCACCAGGCTCCCCTGTCCATCACCAACTCCTGGAGCTTACTCACACTCATGTCCATCAAGTCGGTGATGCCATCCAACCATCTCATCCTCTGTCATCCCCTTCTCCTCCTGCCTTCAGTTTTTCCCAGCATCAGGATCTTTTCCAGTGATTCAGTTCTTCACATCAGGTGGCCAAAGTATTGGAGTTTCAGCTTCAGCATCAATCCTTCAGGACTGATTTCCTCTAGGATTGACTGGTTGAATCTCCTTGCAGTCCAAGGGACTCTGAAGAGTCTTCTCCAACACCACAGTTCAAAAGCATCAATTCTTCGGCACTCAGCTTTCTTCACAGTTGAACTCTCACAACCATACGTGCATACTGGAAAAACCATAGCCTTGACTAGATGGACCTTTGTTGGCAAAGTAATGTCTCTGCTTTTAAATATGCTGTCTAGGTTGGTCATAACTTTTCTTCCAAGGAGCAAGTGTCTTTTAATTTTCGGGCTGCAGTCACCATCAGTGATTTTGGAGCTCAAAAAAATAAAGTCTCTCACTGTTTCTACTGTTTCTCCATCTATTTGCCATGAAGTGATGGGACCGAATGCCATGATTTTAGTTTTCTAAATGTTGAGTTTTAAACCAACTTTTTCACTCTTCTCTTTCACGTTCATCAAGAAGCTCTTTAGTTCTTCTTCACTTTCTGTCATAAGGGTGGTGTCGTCTGCATATCTGAGGTTATTGATATTTCTCCTGGCAATCTTGGTTCCAGCTTGTGCTTCATCCAGCCCGGCATTTCACGTGATGTACTCTGCATATAAGTTAAATAAGCAGGATGACAACATACAGCCTTGGCATGCTCCTTTGCCAGTTTGGAACCAGTCTGTTCCATTTCTAGTCTCACCATTGCTTCTTGACCCACATACAGATTTCTCAGGAGACATGTCAGGTGGTCTGGTATTCACATCTCTTTACGAATTTTCCATAGTTTGTTTGATCCACACAGTCAGAGGCTTTGGCGCAGTCAATAAAGCAGAAGTAGATGTTTTTCTGGAACTCTTGTTTTTTTGATGATCTAGTGGATGTTGGCAATTTGATCTCTGGTTCCTCTGCCTTTTCTAAAACCAGCTTGAACATCTGGAAGTTTCACAGTTCACATACTGTTGAAGTCTGGCTTGGAGAATTTTGAGCATTACTTTGCTGGCATGTGAGATAAGTGCAATTGTGTTGTAGTTTGAACATTCTTTGGCATTGCCTTTCTTTGGGATTGGAATGAAAACTGACCTTTTCCAGTCCTGTGGCCACTGCTGAGTTTTCCAAATTTGCTGGCATATTGAGTGCAGCACTTTTACAGCATCATCTTTTAGGATTTGGAATAGCTCAACTGGAATCACCTCCATTAGCTTTGTTCGTAGTGATGCTTCCTAAGGCCCACTTGACTTTGCATTTCAGGATGTCTGGCTCTAGGTGAGTGATCACATAACCATCATGGTTATCTGGGTTGAGAAGATCTTTTTTGTATAGTTCTTGTGTGTATTCTGCTACCTCTTCTTAATATCTTCTGCTTCTATTAGGTCCATACCATTTCTGTCCTTTATGGAGCCCATCTTTGCACGAAATGTTCCCTTTACCTAAATTTACTTTACTGTGTGCTATATAATGGGCAGTTTTCTTTTTCCTGTGGGACCAAGACTGGAGAACTACTTTTCCAGTCCCTTTCCCTTTCCTGTCCAGTTATATGAAGCCATGCCCTGAGGTGTGGCAGAGGGAGGGTGGCTGAAAGCTGTGTGTACTGCTTTTAGCCCCAGCTCTCCCTGCGCTGGCTGCGTCACCATGACTGCTCTGACCTTGGGAGCTGCCTGTTGAAGATGGCAGAGCTTCCCTCAGCTTAGGTTCCTAAATGACTGTGTGTAACAGTCCTGTCCCCTTCCATCACCTAGTGAACTCTGTATGATAGAGATTTATTATTAACTAGTAGAGTTGGAAGGTTTATCTTTTACGGATAAGAATAGTGTTCTCTTAGCACCTGCAGAGCTGTGACAGGCAGTTAAAACTCGGCCTTTGCCTTCATGTCTTGCCTGTACAGAGCCTCAAGTTCTGCCAGGCTTGAGAGATTTGGGCCTTTCAGGTTTTCAAGGGCATGTTTGTATACCTGCCCTGGCAGGTGGCCTTCTAGACTCTTGAGAATATGGTAGAGCTCTTACCCCTTGTCATCTGATTTTCCAGCTTTTCTTTTAAATTTTGTGGTTGGCTTGTTGTTTACCCCAGCTTTGCTACCACCCAAGGAAGCTGCGATAATAAACAATTGCCACTGACTGCTTCTGACAAAGATTCCAGGGGAAACACCATTCTCCACGACTCAACTGTGGGTTGGGTCAAAGCCAGACAAACCCTACCTAGTCAGGCGATTACAGTTCTCTGGGCATGCAGTTTGGGGATTCCCAGCCCTCATATGTTCTCCTTGTGTCTACCAGACTGCTGGTTTCCTCGGCTCTGTGAAGTTTGACTTGGGGGCAGCTTACTGGAAAAGGGACAAATCAAAACACCACACACCTCTCTCATAGCTAGATTTAGCCCCGTTTCTTGAATAAACGTACCTGAGATTGTTGCAAGTCTGGTTATTTTCCAGAGTTTTGAAAAAAATTGCTTTTGACACCTTGTGCTAATGTTCTCATTACAATTATGGAGGAATGGGTTTACAGAGATTTTTACACTGCCATCTCTACTTATTTATGATTTGTTTGTCTTTGTAAATGTATTCAGTATAATGAATAACAAAAATGTGTGTATTTGGGAGGTGCTTTTATATTTAATTGCCTTTGTAGTGATTATGGTAGATATATATGTAAGAATATATATATACACTAAATATGGAAATGACTATAGGTAATTAAAAGAAGTAGATTATGCAGACTATGTTAGGAGATTAAATATGAACAGTATCCATCACTTTTTTTTTTAATATCCATCACTTTAAAGCTGGAAGATTATTAGAAAAGTCCATTTTTCAGAGCAAGAATCTGAAGGCCAGAATACAAATTCTTTGCTAAAATTCTGGAAATAGTAATTCAGCCACTGTATAATTGTTATGGCGTGACATAGTCTGTCTATGGTGAGACAAATAGAATATTAGACAAATGATATAATCTATTGTGCTGACTTCAGATGAATAGAATTGTATCCAAATTGATTATATTCTAAAAATGTCTTCATTTTCTCAGATTTTGCTTTGTAGTCTATGTTGTAGGGACAGTTTCTGTCTGTAGGGTAATGATATTTAATATTTTGGAGGACATAGATCTTTTTGAGACTCTTAAGAATTATCACTTTGTTCCTCAAGAAAATGTACATGCTATACATGTATGCTAATTTTTTTATTATTTTACATATTCCTAGAAGATTATTAATGATCCAAGTTTAAGATCATGCTGTCATCTGTTTTAACCTTTGATTATATTTCTCAGGTTTAGGATTTTTTTTTTGTC